AAAGAAAGGTATTCAGTCACCCAGCCTCAACTCACACCCAGAAATCACCTCAGAAAATAATGTTGCTGTGCATATGCTTTCAGATGTTTTTTGTTTTTAGATTTTCTTTTGGTGAATATTGAAATATATTTTCAATAAATGTATTTTTAATATTTCAAACTATTCTAAGCTCTTTTTTCTCTAACTGTATCCTCATCATCTTCCCATGTCAATGTACATATTCACTGACTGAATAATATTTCACAGAAGAATATTCTCTGCTGCTTGTAACCCATTTCTTGTTGCTGTGCATGTCCATCCTTCTCAGGGTTTTACTGCTCCAGACAATATTCCATCCTAGACTTGGCAGCTTCTTAAAATAAATATCTTCATCCATAGAAATAAAATCATTGGGTGAACAGGTATCATTCTTCGCTGACTTGTAAAGAGAATATATATGTCTCACCACTGCTACAAAATAAAGATCATATTAACGCTATTAGGACAGGAAAGAACTGTATTGGAGCAAATGACTTAATCCATTTTTAAACTAGCATTTAAGCTAGGAGTCCTGGTGTGGCTCTGTGGGTTAATGTGCTGGACTGCAAGGTCTGTTTGAACTGTAAGGTTGGCAGTTCAAGCTCACAAGCCACTCCTTGGAAACCCTCTACAGGGTGCTATGATTCAGAAAAACAATTATGCATTTTCAGTAGCCTCAGATGCATGTGAAAGTTGGGCAATAAATAAAAAAAAAGACCACAGAATTGATGCATTTGAGTTACGGTGTGGGAGAAGAATATTGAAAGTACTATGGAGTGCCAAAAGAACAAACGAATCTGTATTGGAAGAAGCCAAGATGGACAGACTTCATCTCTCATAATTTGGATATATTATCAGGAGGGACCAGTCTCTGGAGAAGGACATCATGCTTGGTAAAATGGAAGGACAGCAAAAAAGAGAGAGGCCCCCCAAAAGATGTAATGACACAGTGGCAGCAGAAATGGACTCAAGCATAGTAGCAATTGTGAAGATAGTGAAGGACCCGGCGGTGTTTCGTTCTATTTTACATAGGGTCACTATGGGTTGGAACCAAGTCAACAGTATCTAACAATAGCAACGTTATCTGTTAAGCATTGTTCTGCCTTATATGAATCAAAGATTTAACCTTTATGACACCCCTATAAGGCAGGCTGTGCGGTCCCCAAACTCCCTGGGTGGTGAAAACAGTTCATGAGTTTAGCTGCTAACCAAAAGTTTGAAGGTCTAAGCCTATCCAGAGGTAATTTGGAAGAAAGGCCTAGTGATTTACTTGCAAAACCATCTACCATTGGAAAACATGAGGAGCACAATTCTTTCTACTCTGTCATACATACAGTCGCCATGAATCGGAATTGGTTCTACAGCAAGTGGTACTATTACCCCATTTTACAGATGAAGTAATTGAGGCACAGAGACATTACTCAACATCACAGCTAGGTAAACTGGTTCTAGAGTTCGTATTCCTCATGAAGTGAAAACCAGAAGCCTTTTTCTTAAACCACTGGTGTATTCTGACAAGCTCTGCGCACAATGAACCTGCTGGCTGCCTGTAGCGCAGCTACTAAATCTGTGGACTGTAGATCAGGAGCATGGGCATCAGCTGAAGCTTGATAACAATCAGAATCTCAGGTCCCATCCCAAACCTAGGAATCGGAATTGTTACATGAGAAGTACAGGCCTACAGAGTGAGACATTTTTTTCTTCGAAGGAACTAAAAGTAAAAAATCCAGAAGGCAGATTGGGAATGAGGCATACCTGGAAAATTCCATTCTGTTAAAGAAATGCTAGAAATGGGATTCCAAACTCGATTTATAATGCAGAAATGTCCTCACATTAACAATGGTGAATCCATATAACACAAAGTAATTACTCTGTGACTTCCTAATTAAAATCTTTGGAATAGTGCTGGAAATTCTTGACATTATTATATTTACTAGCAAAACAGTAAAAGAAACATTTAATTTATCAGAAATTGCCTTGTTGTTAAGTGCCATCCAGTCTATTCTGACTCATAGTGACCCTGTATAGGGTTTCCAAGGCTTTAAATCTTTTGGGAGAGTTGAAATCCTCATCTTTCTCCATTGGAGTAACTGATGGGTTAAACTACCAACCTTGTGGTTCGGAGTCCACTGCTTATCCTATGGAGCCACCACCCTCCCAGGAATTTCCCTATTATCTAATATATGTCCAATCATGAATAGACACTATGGTAAATTATCAAAGGAGCATATCATTTGCC